TGTATGTATGTATGTATGTATGTATGTATGTATGTATGTATGTATGTATGTATGTATGTATGTGTGTGTGTGTGTGTGTGTGTGTGTGTGTGTGTGTGTGTGTGTGTGTGTGTGTGTGTGTGTATACAACTGCGGAAAAAAATAAGAGACCACTGCAAAATTATCCGTTTCTCTGGTTTTACTATTTATAGTTATGTGTTTGGGTAAAAATAACATTTTTGTTTTATTCTATAAACTACTGACAACATTTCTCCCAAATTCCAAATAAAAATATTGTCATTTGGAGCATTTATTTGCAGAAAATGACAACTGGTCAAAATAACAAAAAAGATGCAGTGTTGTCAGATCTCGAATAATGCAAAGAAAATAAGTTCATGTTCATTTTTAAACAACACAATAGTAATGTTTTAACTTAGGAAGAGTTCAGAAATCATTATTTGGTGGAATAACCCTGATTTTCAATCACAGCTTTCATGCGTCTTGGCATACTCTCCACCAGTCTTTCACATTGATGTTGGGTGACTTTATGCCACTCCTGGCGCAAAACGTCAAGCAGCTCGGCTTTGTTTGATGGCTTGTGACCATCCATCTTCCTCTTGATCACATTCCAGAAGTTTTCAATGGGGTTCAGGTCTGGAGATTGGGCTGGCCATGACAGGGTCTTGATCTGGTGGTCCTCCATCCACACCTTGATTGACGTGGCTGTGTGGCATGGCACATTGTCCTGCTGGAAAAACCAATCCTCAGAGTTGGGGAACAATGTCAGTGCAAAGGGAAGCAAGTTTTCTTCCAGGACAACCTTGTACGTTGCTTGATTCATGCGTCCTTCATAAAGACAAATCTGCCAGATTCCAGCCTTGCTGAAGCACCCCCAGATCATCACTGATCCTCCACCAAATTTCACAGTGGGTGTGAGACACTGTGGCTTGTAGGCCTCTCCAGGTCTCCGTCTAACCATTAAACGACCAGGTGTTGGGCAAAGCTGAAAATTGGACTCATCAGAGAAGATGACCTTACTCCAGTCCTCTACGGTCCAATCCTTATGGTCTTTTGCTTTTTTCTTGCTTTGCACGACTTCAGCCCAGCCCCTAGGAGCTTGTTTCGAACCGTCCTCGCCGTGCACTTCACCCAAACTGCCGTTTGCCATTCTTTTTATAGGTCACTTGATGTCATCCTACGGTTGTTGAGTGACATTCAAATGAGTTGGCGGTCATCCCGGTCAGTAGAGAGTCGTTTTCGCCCTCTGCCGGTCTGTAGCTTTGATGTCCCCAATGTCTGCTGCTTGACCTTGTTCTTATGAACCGCCGTCTTTGAAATTTTAAGGATGGAAGCAACCTGACGCTCACTGTATCCCTCTGCCAGTAAAGCCAGAATTGAACCCTTCTTTTTCTCACTCAAAACTTTCCTTTTCAACTCTTTTGGCATGGTCAATAGTTATTTTTTGATTAATATTACTTTTGAGGTACTATTAGCACTGTTTTTGCCATCCAGCTGGTCCTATTGCAAGAGGATAGTGATGACCACAGCAGTGGTTTTTATACTTTTCCTCGTTAAATAAGATTTGGTTCATGTGATCACCTAATCAGTACCTAATTCAGTAGAATGAGGTGTGCCTGTGTTGGAATTCAACAGACACTGGAATGGAATGGCTGTCATACATGAAGAAATGCTTATTTAAGAAAAATGTGCAGTGGTCTCTTAATTTTTTCCACAGCTGTGTATATATGTATGTATGTATGTATGTATGTATGTGTGTGTGTGTGTGTATGTGTGTATGTATGTATGTATGTGTGTGTGTATGTATGTATGTATGTATATATATATATATATATATATATATATATATATATTCACCAGTATCTAATAAATGATCTGCTTACACTTGTTGCACCTGTTACGCAGCAGGTGTGTCTCCTTAATTTGTTTTTACAGCACTGATTAAGGCATAAGGCCGAAACCTATGCAAAAAAATTATAATCTTTATAGCCCCTTACACTTTCAATTTCTTTCGAGAATGGATTAAATATATACTTTTTTTGCATTTCGGCCTCCCTGATTTATTATTTTCCATGGTTTTGAGTGTGAGTACCTTTGAACTCAACAGATATTTTTTCTCCTATGCACCAGCAGCCTTCCATTCTAGCCTGAGCGCAAACCCTCATGCTGAATTTCACCTGATAATGATAAAGGCCTATAGCCCACACACCTTGTTGGTGTCATTATCACAGCAGGTGGTGGCACTCAGGACAAAACAGTACAGAGTCTAGAAGTTGGCCCCAATATTTTATTCCATTAGAAAAGATCCAACAGTGTAGCTTTTGTATCATAACAGCTGAACAAAATCAGCATGGAATATTATGTAGTGATAGCGCACAGATTATGGGAAATTATGTGATATTATGTTGCCAAGGCAGGTATGCAAACAGACATAAGCTCTGTGGTCCATATCCTTGTGTGACACAGGGAGGCTGATGGATTCGGGCTAAGCAGTTTCTATGGCAACAGAGGAAGAGCGATGCAGCAGTAAACAGTGAGGTGGTGAGCCCGGAGACGATCACTCAAAAGGCTGGTTCCTCCATGCTCCTCTCACGCTCTCCCCTGTTGCGCCCATTATCTTGGCTACTGGTCACACTCTTTCGCCCATTCCATTGTCAAATCATTATAAGGAAGGCAGCTAAAGTATAGTGTATAATAGTCACACCAAGACATGTAAGTAGCCTTTTACGAATCGGAACGACTCATAGGAGCAGGAGCCTGTCTCCTGTTTCTGTAGCATGAGGCCTATAGGATGGAAAAAGTCACAGGCAGAGCGCACGTGGGTGATAGACCCATTTCTTTTGACGGCACCTGAGGTCACCTTTTATTCTCCATCCAACCACTTTTACAGCATCATAACTTTGCCCTTCGGGACAGGTTTCTTATATATAGGGCCCAACAAACCACTTTCCTTTACAAAACCAGTACAAATTATATGGCAGATGATCATTTTATTGGTATACTGTACAATTTGGATTTATAACAAGTTTAATTTTTACATTGATTGACCAGGATGCTACTATTTTTCAGAATATTTTTTCTCTCTCAAATGGCTACCATATGCACCAGAAATCTCTTTACAAATAGAAAAATACGAAACCACACACCCATTTGTGAGGGGAAAAGAAAGTACAATGAAAAACATGTAGGAGTTTATAAAGCTATAGTACTTTCGTAAAGAGAAATACAAACAATGGGGCAGGATTGATAAAGGCAGCATGAAATGACTCGAGAACCAAGCTGCCATAGCAATCTTGTAGCTCAGTTGGTAGAGCATGGCGCTTGCAACGCCAGGGTTGTAGGTTCGATTCCCATGGGGGGCCAGTATGAAAATGTATGCACTCACTAACTGTAAGTCGCTCTGGATAAGAGCGTCTGCTAAATGACTCAAATGCAAATGTCAAATGTACAGTAGAGGTGTAATTTCTATGGTTCTTTCAGATCTGATACCTTATTAGTATAGAGCAGTGGTCTGAACCGCAGATCAATTCCCAATATAATCTGCAATTTATTTTCTGGTATTAAAGGCTGTGACTGTACTATTGGCTACCATTTGAGGAGGAATTGCGTTACATGTATTCCCACAGCAGGTGCTAAAGGTTGTATTCACAGAGTTGTACGAAACATAAGCCACAATGAGGTTGGCCTATACATAAAAAAGGATGCTGTAATTGAGACGGAAACAAGACAGACATACAAAACAAACACTCATACAAACACAGAGTGGATGATGTTGCCTGATGTCTGGCTCTCAAACTGAGATGTCCAACGCTATCAACTACCAAAGACAGGAGGGGCAATCAGCCACACACAAACTGGTACAACTACATACACATTCACACACAAACTGGTACAACTACATACACATTCACAAACAAAAACATATACATGCACAGTTTTCAAACTGTCAAAAAGTGCTGTCTTGTGCTTGAACATTTAACGCTGTTGGTTTTCACACCAACATATTTTTTATCTGCATTGACTGCCATTTCAAAAGCAACAGAAACCCTGAAGACAACTGTCTTCATCACCACATACTAATGTAGGTAGAACAAAAGGAGTTAAGGCCACATATGGAAAATCAACAGATCATCTCCATTTATCCAGGGTAAAAAATGTGCCAGGGTAAAAAAGGTGAAAGAAAAGTTGCTGTTTGCATCAGATGTCATAAATGCATATCAAACCTTGCTACGTCAGTTCCCCTACACACCCAAGAGTACATTGTCCCGCTTGTCTGTTTCAAGATGATGAGGTGTGACAAGATAAGATGCACATTCCAGAAGCCCCTTGTCAGTAGATCACAGGTTGATGGAATATGTCCTTCCTCAGCAGGCATCATTGAACTCCAATCCTTTAGTGGTCTGAAGCTTTTCCAATAGGCTCCATTCTCTTCTGTTGATGGCCACCAGGGGGTAGACATGCTTAGGCCCTCATGTCCAGCTAGGCCACCCCTACTCTACTCATCAAAAGAGGGAGCCACTGCGGTGGAAGTGGTTCGAAATTACAGTAGTGTGCACATTTGGAAAGAAACTACAATAAAGGCCAGATCTTGGTTGTGTTTGAAGGATGAAAAAGGAGACACAAAAGCAGGCCTACAACAATTTCAAGTCATCACAATGCAAGAATATTCACAATTTGTATTACCCACTACGTTTAGTCTCTAATAGACTCCAATTATGGAATATCATACCTACTATAAGTTGTCTCTGATGTGCTCCTATTAGGCACAGGGAATTTGCACTCTCATTCTATCTATATAACATCAGGTCCTTTAAATCAGGGAGAAGGGTAGATATAACTATAATATAAAATCTGATATGATCCCTTTAAAAATATATATTTTAAAGTAATACTTAGGAGGAGAGCATGTTCTGTCCACTTGGAGAAAGGGTTGCAGTATCCTATTTGTCCTTTTGGGAGTGTAATTGTGGTTGTGAGCTCCATTATGCTCAGTCCCCACTCCTCTAAGGCCTGCTGTTGTTGAAGCTGGAGTTGTTGCTGCTGCAGCTCTCCTCATATGTGGGAGGGGGCTCTGTAAAATACACAGACAAACCAGAGAAACAGTCAGATTATATAGTAGGCCATTGTTCAGTAATCATTGATCATCATACTGACACAGAGGGGATTTATAGAATAAACTCCAGACAGGTCAGCTCATCTTTGACTGGGATAGTTTGTCATGCACAGGGGTGCTGTATTAGGGGAGGGGGGGGGGGGACGACGACGACTCACCATGTGGGTAGTCCCAGGTGCTGTACTCAGGGGGGAGTATGAGAGGACAGGACGTGGGTACTGGGGTGGCGTTTCCCTCTGTGAAGAAGGGGATGGTGGCCCCAGTAGACACACAGAACAGATGCGCCGAGGTGTCATCGGCAGGTTGCTGGCTGTTGGGGGAAGCTACACCGGGAGCGTAGCTGAATGCACTGGGGGACATGGTGGGGGGCTGGCCGGATTGGTCCTGCTGGGAGTGACTCTTTGTGGGGATCTCCTCGCTGACTGAACCCCCTGCACCCAACACCTCCTCCAAGTCCTCCTCAGCCGGGGGTGCGCTCGGGGTAACCCCTCCTGGACCGGTGTTGGGGCTGATGGTTGTTGGGGCTGGAGTTGAGGGCATAGGTCGTGACGGGATCAAGTTGACAGCGATGTTCCCGATGTAGATGGGTAAAGTGACAACTGTCTCTGGGGACTTTAGTGATACCTGCAGCGGTCACAAGACACAATGTAAATGTGTTTATATATCCTGTCATCCCAAGATGATCCTTTAAAGCTCCAATGCAGCTATTCTTATCTCAATATCAAACCATTTATGGGTAAGAATTAAGTACCTTTGTGATTGTTTTAAATTAAAATGGTAAAAAAGAAACAAAAACAGCTTCTTAGCAAAGAGCAATTTCTTAAGGAAGAATTTTGCTAGGACTGTCTGGGAGTGTTCTGAGTGTGGAGGGGAAAACTGAAAACTAGCTGTTATTGGCAGAGAGGTTTGGAACTCTCTTTCTTATTGGTCTATCAACTAATTTACCGCCTGGTGATGTCACCAGGCATGCCAAAACTCCATCCCACCAAAACTGGCTGAAACTTCAGGTGGTCTTTTCAAACAGCTCTTACAGTAAAAGGGCATTTTCATAATTTTAGGGCTGTCCCCAACAACAACAAAATCTTGCTCGACCAAGAGTCGTCTGTTCGTTCGACCAATCGATTGGACAACATTTTTTAATGTGTATTTTTCCATATATAGACACATCCTATGTGTTTTAATCAAATCAACTATATGCACTGAGCTTGTCTGATGCTTTAAGCAAACTGTTTGATGAAATCATTAAGACACACAAATGACTAGAGGGAGTCCGACCGCAATTGATTTGATTGTGCCACCTGTCTCAGAATTGCTGCACTGTGTTAAAAAAAAGACAGCAAGTGACTGTGACTAACACCCGTTGTCTCTCTCTCCTCCCTGCTGCAGCGACCACCATAGAACTTCAACAGTGTGTATCACGCTGTCCGTGTTGCTGGAGCTGCAACATAATTACAGCCATTTCTGACTGAAAAGTTGTTACCGAAATCCCTAATTTGTTTAGGAAAAACAGTCCCTCAACCCTTGCTCTCTTTATGTGACACATGTATGCTTCATATGCACGTGACCAATAGGGCCTGACCTATAGCATATCATAATCACATCAATAAATTGGTTATAACAAACTCTGAACATCGTAACACGTGACCGCAAAATAAATGCAGAGGATGTGATAAATAAACTCAAAGCAGGGGAATGTTTACTGGTTGCTCAGGAGGTAAAGGGGAAGATGTGTGGAATAAATTTGACTAGTTGTGGAAAATACTGGAGATCAAGAAAAATAAGATATGGAGCAAGCACTGCAGGTGCTGTTAGTTTACAATATACTTTTTCAGACTGTTTGGAACAATGTAAAGAACACTAAATAAATGATAAGCATACCAGAGTGTCTGTTGTCATAAAGAAAAGTAAAGCCTTTATTCCAGCAAAGACTAAAAACAGTCACATTCATTCAAGAATGCAATTTCTGAAATGGAATTGTTTAAGCCTATTTATTGTTTACGCTAATTATTCAATGGTTGCTTTGTTATTTTATTTTAAAACTAAAATGCTTGATTGCATTTCACATCATGAATGACTCATATGCTGTGTGATGACATAAATGATTGATTGATACAGCAGACTATATAAGTATTGAAATATAGGCCTAAGTAAATTATGGTATTAAGACTAAACAGGATGCACTCTTAGTCGTTATACAAGGCTGCTATACTAAGCCTACTAATGATAATGACATTACTTATTATTATAATGATGATCATAATAATAATAATAACAATAAGGAGATCAAGGAAAAAGGAGGGTTATTATTATTATAAATAATGTTTTTCTGACAATTTGGAACAGTGTAAACAACACTAAATAATTATAAACAACACCAGACAGGCTGGTCTAACGAAATAAAGTGTAAAGCCTTTATTACAGCAGAGCAGAAATTAAAAACAGCGGAATTTGTGAAATTGTTGTGTGAGGCTTGGTGCTCACTGAATCAGTAGGCTATCAACCAAACACTCAAACAGGCAACAGAAGCAGGATCTGTCTTATTTCTGTAGATATATATGGATGGTTTATAAAGCCAAGCACATTTAACAGTTAGGCGATTGATTATAGACCTAATTAATTTGGAGTTTCCTCTCTCACTTTTCTTAGACAATTAAGGCAAGGGTTGTTTTCTCGTCTCCTAACTCTGCTGCTGCCTCCGCCGCATTGTTCTCAACACCAATATGCTGGTTAACTTTGCTATTATGCACATAGCAACATGGTCTAGGAAAAGGCGGCAATTCAACAGAGCATTGATGTGTTTCAGAACCGCGGACAGTATTCAACGCAAGAGAAAGTGCATTTGTCATAAAATAATATAATCTTTATTTGTGTTGCACCATTGTTCTTACATAATATAACCATATACAGTATCTCACAAAAGTGAGTATACCCCTCACATTTTTGTAAATATTTGAGTATATCTTTTCATGTGACAACACTGAAGAAATGACACTTTGCTACAATGTAAAGTAGTGAGTGTACAGCTTGTATAACAGTGTAAATTTGCTGTCCCCTCACAATAACTCAACACACAGCCATTAATGTCTAAACCGCTGGCAACAAAAGTAAGTACACCCCTAAGTGGAAATGTCCAAATTGGGCCCAATTAGCCATTTTCCCTCCCCGGTGTCATGTGACTCGTTAGTGTTACAAGGTCTCAGGTGTGAATGGGGAGCAGGTGTGTTAAATCATCGCTCTCACACTCCCTCATACTGGTTACTGGAAATTCAACACGGCACCTCATGGCAAAGAACTCTCTGAGGATCTGAAAAAAAGAATTGTTGCTCTACATAAAGATGGCCTGGGCTATAAGAAGATTGCCAAGACCCTGAAACTGAGCTGCAGCACGGTGGCCAAGACCATACAGCGGTTTAACAGGACAGGTTCCACTCAGAACAGGCCTCGCCATGGTTGACCAAAGAAGTTGAGTGCACGTGCTCAGCGTCATATCCAGAGGTTGTCTTTGGGAAATAGACGTATGAGTGCTGCCAGCATTGCTGCAGAGGTTGAAGGGGTGGGGGGTCAGCCTGTCAGTGCTCAGACCATACGCCGCACACTGCATCAAATTGGTCTGCATGGCTGTCGTCCCAGAAGGAAGCCTCCAAGACGACCACTGCCTTGCTAAAGAAGCGGAGGGTAAAGGTGATGGACTGGCCAAGCATGTCTCCAGACCTAAACCCTATTGAGCATCTGTGGGGCATCCTGAAACAGAAGGTGGAGGAGTGCAAGGTCTCTAACATCCACCAGCTCCGTGATGTCGTCATGGAGGAGTGGAAGAGGACTCCAGTGGCAACCTGTGAAGCTCTGGTGAACTCCATGCCCAAGAGGGTTAAGGCAGTGATGGAAAGTGATGGTGGCCACACAAAATATTGACACTTTGGGCCCAATTTCGACATTTTCACTTAGGGGTGTACTCACTTTTGTTGCCAGCGGTTTAGACATGAATGGCTGTGTGTTTAGTTATTTTGAGGGGACAGCAAATGTACACGGTTATACAAGCTGTACACTCACTACTTTACATTGTAGCAAAGTGTCATTTCTTCAGTGTTGTCACATGAAAAGATATACTCAAATATTTGCAAAAATGTGAGGGGTGTACTCACTTTTGTGAGATACTGTACAATTTCAGTAGCACATGTCTTAGACTGATGGACTGTGCCATCCCCACAGCCTCCACAATGGATCAGTCCACCAATCAGACAGGTGTCTTGTACACCATGTTTTTTTGCTACTGCTCAACAAAATTAATCTCGATCGACCATCAGCCTATCGACCAGTCGACTAAATGGGGTCAGCCCTACATCATTTTCACAATTTCACAGTATTTTTCCAACCTCATAGTGTGGAAATAGATATAAAACACAGGAAAATCACGTTTTTGACTGCACTGGGCCTTTAAGTACTGACAAAAATAGCTTTGCCATACTGTATTAGGAACAAGAGATTACCATAGTTATAATCCCTGAACTCAGTAAAGAGACCTCTGAGACTGAGCATGAATTACTTACAGCATACTACATCACAGGTGCATTGGGTTAATAAGAGGATTACAGCAGTATGATACTGTATGAGGAAAAGTGTCTGGTTTATATTACAACTACAACTGCTACAAGTCTGAAGTACCACTTGTGAACAACACTATTAATTGAGTGGATCCCAAAAACTGCACTTCATTGAGGGTGTTACTAACCTGGATGAAGTAATCGATCTCTATAAGGCTGCAGCCGGCCAGGGCAGACTGGGGGAGGGGCGGTACGATGATTTGCTCCCGCCACTCAGCGTGTTTCCCCGCCTTCACTCCCGCCCCCTCTACCTCTGCTATGGTCCGCAGGTCGAACACAGCCCGTTTGGTCTTATAAGTCACTTTCTGATCAGGAGAGAGTCATCAGAATGAAGCCCATCAGACCAACATACAGACCAGACAATACAGAGCAAAGCATCACATCACTTCTTAGAGACAACATACAGTATATCAGCATTTGCCCATAAACCAGTAAGACTATCTGTTTTGCAGAACAAAATAGTCAAAGGAACAACAGCACATGAGACATTAAAGAGGTCGTCGGGTACCTGTATGAGGCTGGCCAGCACACAACCTGTGTCCTTGCCTGACTTGTTGTGGATCTCAGTGGCTAGTCTGATGATCTGGCCTGGTGTGTATCCTCTCTGGTCACTGCAAGCCTTCAGCATGAGGGTGCCCGTCTTCACCAGGAGGTAGCTGAACTTCTTAGTGGTCACAGCATAACTGGGTTGCTGGGGAGAAGCAGTCATAGGAAGGATAAAACAAGCCATTCCAACGGACAAATGAACAGAGCAAAGAAAGAGAGAAATTAGAGCTGGGGGAAAGGAGGAGACCTCCCGTAATCTTTAATTAAAGACGAGATAGTGTTTGTACTGCGCTCATTACGCTGAAATCAAATCCCATAACTATCAAACTAAATAAGACATGATCAAATAAGTGGGCACTCTACGGGTGGTCCACTGTCCTCTTCAGACAGTATCTACTGTTCCAGTAGACAGTCTGTAGCCAAGTACTATATTAGTAATTCCGACTGCATAACAACACAATTTAATTATATTTTTGAGACGGTGTTGACTGGTCTTTACCTCAATGTCGGGCACTTGGTTGAGGTTGAGCAGGTTGAGTAGGTAGAAGGGCCTCTGGGCCTTGTAGTCTTTGGAGAAGCGAGGTGTGTCTATGACGGTTCTCACACGGTAAACAATCTTCCCAAAGGGCCCTTCAAAGGAGGTCGGGGCAGCCACTTGGTTGGGCAGAGAGAAATACAGCTATTAGACAGTGCAAGATTGACCACAGAAAGTTTAAGATTGTATATAAAAATGTACTAATGGAGATAAATAATTACAGCAGCGACATAAACTGCTGTAATTATTAACTACTACAGCAGCGACATAAACCAAAGCTGTTTCATTTCTTTCATAAAGCCTGTGCTGTCTGCAGGTGAAACCTATAAATGAGAATACGAGATTCTGACTAAAACAGAATGGTAGTCTAAAATGGTGGCTGGTCAGTGTGTGTACTTTATCAGAGAAGGGCCAGTCAGTGCTTGGTCTGAGCAGTGAGAGGCAGATAGATCAGATCAGGGGGACAGATACTCAGGGCTCCTAGCAGAGCTGTCACCAAGTGTCTGTGCTGATCTGTCTGAGCTGTACAAATCCCCTCCTAAGAAGACAGGAGGAGGACACAGTTTATTTACAGACTCCAGAAAGGACAGAAGATAGAGGAGGAGATGAAGGGAATGAGGAAAGGAAACTGAAGAAGGGAAAGTCAAAAATAACAACTCTGAGAGGTTGGATGGAGAGAAGGAATGGAGAATTACAGGATGAAGTTCAGGACAAACAGAGATAGATATGAGACAGGATGTATCAGATTTTTGGAGAAAAACGTCTATATCCTCAATCCGAATACATTTACAAAGTTCATACTGGGTAATATAAATGTCCATCTTCTGTTTTCAGCTCATGTCTTAAAGCACGACAGGTGCTGACATATTCTAATTGGAATGTATTGTGTCCAATGTCATGCTATGATTTACCCTTTGGCCTTTTAACTAAACACATTATTAGATATTCCTATGAATCATTGGAATAAATAGATGATTCAATATGGTGTATACAGAACAAACAGGTCTCTGGACTTCTCAATATTATCCATTCCAATTCTGCACTCCTCCTCATTTAAATGAGAATGTCAGTAGTGGGTGCTGCACAGGGTCATTTCCTGCTGTCAATAAGGATTAGTGAGGAGCAGCAGGCTGGATATAAAAGGCTTGGCAGAACAGACACATACAGGCTCATGGCCAGAGGGAACCCAGCACCAGGGGCACTTGTCTGACTGAGTCTATGGGCCTGACAAAAAGCTATTCTACCACTTCCTCTTCTCCAGCCTCCTCCACAGAACCAAGGGCTCTTGTTTTTAAGTCTTCACTTGTCAGTGTTTAAGTACATCCACCAATCCTCACAGCATGAACAGCAGTTTTAATGTAGCATCCTATTTGCAGGAGCTCTAGAGCCTAGATGTTAAAGCATCCCCTGTCAGCCCCTGACCCCAACAACCAGCAGGGGGCACTGTCACTGGGTCACGGGGCTCAGTGAGTCTGCCTGGATGATCCCATCATCAGCTCTGTAATTATCATGTCTTCTGCCTGTTCTGTAGACGACGAGGGCGGGAGGAACAGCGGGGGGATGGCGGGGGGATGGCAGGGGGCCCACAAGGAGCAATTAAACACTGACAGGACTAAAGGACTATATATAGACATCCCTCCTCACCCCACCGAGCCCAGACAGAGTGTAGCCTAATGGACAGACACTGCACTGTCTGTGCCCTCACACCTGCATGTACTCAAGTTCACAGTACAGTCAAAAGAATTCCGGAGAACAAGGAATAGCATTCTAAATGTCATGTGTTATGACACAAGGGCGTGTCTGTGGGGACACGATATGGCTCTCTAGGATACTGGCACTTGTTTGCTCTGCCTTTGTGTTAGTCCTTGGCCAGCGGTGACTTACATGGCCAACGTTGACATATATCACCCACTTAGACAGGAGATACAGTTGAAGTCAGAAGTTTACATACACCTTAGCCAAATACATTTAAACAATTCCTGACATTTAATCCCAGTAAAACTTCCCTGTTTTAGGTCAGTTAAGATCACCACTTTATTTTAAGAATGTGAAATGTCAGAATAATAGTAGAGAGAATGATTTATTTCAGCTTTTAGTTATTTCATCACATTCCCAGTGGGTCAGAAGTTTACATACACTTAATTAGTATTTGGTAGCATTGCCTTTAAATTGTTTAACTTGGGTCAAACTTGGGCCTTCCACAAGCTTCCCACAATAAGTTGGGTAAATTTTGGCCCATTCCTCCTGACAGAGCTGGTGTAACTGAGTCAGGTTTGTAGGCCTCCTTGCTCGCACACGCCTTTTCAGTTCTGCCCACAAGTTTTCTATAGGATTAAGGTCAGGGCTTTGTGATGGCCACTCCAATACCTTTACTTTGTTGTCCTTAAGCCATTTTGCCATAACTTTGGAAGTATGCTTCGGGTCATTGTCCATTTGGAAGACCCATTTGCGACCAAGCTTTAACTTCCTGACTGATGTCTTGAGATATATCCACATAATTTTCCTTCCTCATGATGCCATCTATTTTGTGAAGTGCACCAGTCCCTCCTGCAGCAAAGCACTCCCACAGCATGATGGTGCCACCCACGTGCTTCACGGTTGGGATGGTGTTCTTCTGCTTGCAAGCATCCCCCTTTTTCCTCCAAACATAACGATGGTCATTATGGCCAAACATTTCTATTTTTGTTTCATCAGACCAGAGGACATTTCTCCAAAAAGTACGATCTTTGTCCCCAAGTGCAGTTGCAAACCGTAGTCTGGCATTTTTATGGCGGTTTTGGAGCAGTGGCTTCTTCCTTGCTGAGCGGCCTTTCACGTTATGTCGATATAGGACTCGTTTTACTGTGGATATAGATATTTTTGTACCTGTTTCCTCCAGCATCTTCACAAGGTCCTTTGCTGTTGTTCTGGGATTGATTTGCACTTTTCGCACCAAAGTACGTTCATCTCTAGGAGACAGAACGCGTCTCCTTCCTGAGCGGTATGACGGCTGCGTGGTCCTATGGTGTTTATACTTGCATACTATTGTTTGTACAGATGAACGTGGTACCTTCAGGCGTTTGGAAATTGCTCCCAAGGATGAACCAAGACTTGTGGAGGTTGGCTGATTTCTTTTGATTTTCCCATGATGTCAAGCAAAGAGGCACTGAGTTTGAAGGTCGTCCTTGAAATACATCCACAGGTACACCTCCAATTGACTCAAATTATGTCAATTAGCCTATCAGAAGCTTCTAAAGCCATGCCATCATTTTCTGGAATTTTCCAAGCTATTTAAAGGCACTTTCAACTTAGTTGAAAGCTGGAATTGTGATACAGTGAATTATAAGTGAAATAATCTGTTTGTAAACTATTGTTGGAAAAATTACTTGTGTCATGCACAAAGTAGATGTCCTAACCAACTTGCCAAAACTATAGTTTGTTAACAAGAAATTTGTGGAGTGGTTAAAAAACGAGTTTTAATGACTTCAACCTAAGTGTATGTAAACTTCCGACTTCAACTGTATTGGCTGACACAAGGGGTATTGGCTGACTAAAGCACTTAGGATTAAAGGGAAACTGAACGTAATAAGCAACTTCTCCTTTTGAAAACGGCCTACGTGGCGTCAATATGAGTCAAAAGTTACTACAAAGTGTAAATAGGATAATTCTGGTCATAAAGTCAGTCTCGTCCAAAAGGGTGATTTGCGAGATAATTATGAAGAAAAAAATATGTCACGGAATGAAGGGTACCGTAAAAGTCTTCCTTGGGTTGGGTTTATTTCAATCCTGCCCACATGCCCACAGCTGGCAGCACCCAAGTAATCATCAATTCGGAGTGCACCGATCGTAATACCCATGGCCAATTTGATTTGACATTCGATATCCCTATGGGGGCTAGTTAAGGACCATCAGTAAATTACACAATGCACATGGGAGAAAATTTCAATGACTTAAAAACCTCAAACCAACTATATATTGTAGAAATTCATATACAAATATTGAAAGCATTTAATGAGACAACTAAAAAGTGGGCTAAATGAAAATATTGTCCCATTTACATTGTGTAATTCATTGATGGTCTCTAACTATACCCAGAGATAGTGTCACGTTCGTTCATAGACGGGTCAGACCAAGGCGCAGCGTGATATGCATACATGTTTATTTGAACCGAATAAACAACGACAAAAACAACAAACTAACGACACGTGAAGTCCAAGGTACACAAACAACATACCTTATACAGAACAAGATCCCACAACCCACTAGTGCCAATAGGCTGCCTAAGTATGGACCCCAATCAGAGACAACGAGCGATAGCTGCCTCTGATTGGGAACCACACCGTCCAACATAGATCTAGAATACTAGATCCTACAACATAAAACAAACACAACAAGGAATATACACACCCTGACTCAACATATAAGCGTCCCCTGAGTCAGGGCGTGACAGTACCCCCCCCCCCCCCCAAAGGTGCAGACTCCGACCGCACAACATAAACATAACAGGGTAGGGGCCGGGTGGGCATTCCGCCTCGGAGGCGGATCCGGCTCAGGGCGTGACGACCTCTCACTCGTCGCCTCCCTGTTGCGCCCCTGGTCTGGTCTAGACCTCGGTGCGTTGCTTCCCCTCTCCTTCCTCCCACTATACTCCAAGCCATGTCTGGACCCTGGTGTGGGAGACCCCGAAACTGGAGAGGGGCTGACGTCTGGGTCTGGACTGGAGCCGCTGACCGGAGCTGGACCGGGCACCGGTGGAGCAGACTGCTCAGGCTCCGGACTGGAGCCCGGTGGAGCGGACTGCTCTGGCTCCGGAGTGGAGCAGCTGACCGGAGCTGGATCAGGCACCGGTGGAGCGGACTGCTCTGGCTCCGGAGTGGAGCCGCTGACCGGAGCTGGACTGGACCCCGGTGAAGCAGATTGCTCTGGCTCCGGAGTGGAGCAGCTGACCGGAGCTGAACTGGGCACCGGTGGAGCGGACTGCTCTGGCTCCGGAGTGGAGCAGCTGACCGGTGCCGGACCAGGCACCGGTGGAACAGGCACGGGCCGTGCCGGACTGGACACACGCACCACTGGCTTGGTGCGAGGAGCAGGAACAGGCCGGACCGGGCTGGCGACGCGCACCACTGGCTTGGTGCGTGGAGCAGGAACAGGCCGGGCCGTACTGGGAACACGCACCACTGGCTTAGTGCGGGGAGCAGAAACGGGCCGGACCGGACTGGCGACACGCACCACTTGCTTGGTGCAAGGAGCGGGACTGGGTTCCTTTATTAACCCCCGCTCCTTCTGCTACCTAACCAGCTCCTCTCGCCGTGCCTCTACACCTTCCTTCTGCTCCCTCTGAACCAATAGCCCCCGTAATCTGGTGGCCTCCTCTCCTAACCAGCCGATCCGCCCTGTCACGGCCTCCTGCTGCCTCGTCGTCCACACCGTGTGCCCCCCCCCAAAAAAAATCTTGGGATTGCCTCTCCACCCTGATCAGGGCCTCCATCTTTCTTGCCAGATCCTCTCTCATCTCCTGCCAAGTCCATCCTCTCTGCTCCTCCTCAGCACACTGCTTGGTCCAGGTCTGGTGGGATCTTCTGTCACGCTCGTAGAAGGATGGGTCAGACCAAGGCGCAGCGTGATATGCATACATGTTTATTACACGAATAAACACACGACAAAACAATAAACTAACGACACGTGAAGTCCAAAGGTAACACAACAAACCTTATACAGAACAAGATCCCACAACCCACTAGTGCCAATAGGCTGCCTAAGTATTGTTCCCAATCAGAGACAACGAGCGACAGCTGCCTCTGATTGGGAACCACACCGGCCAACATAGATCTAGATATACTAGATCTAAACATAGAAAATACAACATAGAAAATCACAACAAGGAATATACACACCCTGACTCAACATATAAGCGTCCTCTGAGTCAGGGCGTGACAGATAGAGTATCCAAAGTCAAACCAACTTTGCCACAGTCGCACACTGGCTGGCTGAAGCTAATTGGGTAAAGAAGTTGGCTAGCTTGCTAGCTAGTCTAGGCTACTTCCAGACACAAGACCTGGTTAGACTGTTTCAAGTTATCTAGAAGGGTGAGTGACTGTAACTGTGTACTGTTTTGGCAGAGTGAAAGTACAAACACTTCCCCCGTTCGACCGTACACACAAGAGACACCCACATCAAAGTACGCCTCCAAAACCCAAATCTCATTCTCAGTCGCATTTCCTAATGAGGAGAATTGAAACCTAGGCTAAATCAGGAAGTTCATCCCCCCTTTAAGGTGAAGTGCATAAAGCACAAGGGCAGAGACAGAGTCAATAGTGTGCCCTACCTGTGATATGAAAAGGCATCTCTTTATTTACCTGAACAAACTCTACTGAATGTTCTTACTTCATTCACAATAATATATTATATCCTGTCCAATTGTTTCATTGTTAGACAAAGAGCCAAGGGCATTAGGCAATACTACAAAGACAACAAACACTGTGCCTGTTCAGAAACGTCACGTTATCAGTGGTTATCAATGGTTATACCAGTTTCCTTCAACGTCACTAACAACATTTCTGCTATACTGTAAAAATGTAAAAAAAAATTGGGGACCTCAGTGTGGTTGACATGGTGGAATGCAGTTTAATAGGTTTTCCAGACTAATTCCAAACATACCTGGAATGAGAAATTGAAAAGGGAAGCTGTGCTCGCCAGCTGCCAGGACACCTGTAAGAGAGAGATCGCTTGGTCAGACAGACAGACACAGACACAGACACAGAGAGCAAGACAGACTGACTGGTGGCCAGTGTAAGTTTTCAACAGCTCTCACAATGGTGTCGAAAATTTTACAATAAGCGATTTTGTTTTTAACTCTGCTTTTCTAGGTCAGCCCACTGTGACATTTCAGCACCAAGGTGTGTATGTACAGTGAGGGAAAAAAGTATTTGATCCCCTGCTGATTTTGGACGTTTGCCCACTGACAAAAAAATTATCAGTCTATCATTTTAATGGTAGGTTTATTTGAACAGTGAGAGACAGAATAACAAAAAAAATAACAAAAAAACTCATGTCAAAAATGTTATAAATTGATTTGCATTTTAATGAGGGAAATAAGTATTTGAACCCCTCTCAATCAGAAAGATTTCTGGCTCCCAGGTGTCTTTTATACAGGTAACGAGCTGAGATTAGGAGCACACTCTTAAAGGGAGTGCTCCTAATCTCAGCTTGTTACCTGTATAAAAGACACCTGTCCACAGAAGCAATCAATCAATCAGATTCCAAACTCTCCACCATGGCCAATACCAAAGAGCTCTCCAAGGATGTCAGGGACAAGATTGTAGACCTACACAAGGCTGGAATGGGCTACAAGACCATCGCCAAGCAGCTTGGTTAGAACAGTTGGTGCGATTATTCGCAAATGGAAGAAACACAAAAGAACTGTCAATCTCCCTCGGCCTGAGGCTCCATGCAAGATCTCACCTCGTGGAGTTGCAATGATCATGAGAATGGTGAGGAATCAGCCCAGAACTACACGGGAGGATCTTGTCAATGATCTCAAGGCAGCTGGGACCATAGTCACCAAGAAAACAATTGGTAACACACTACGCAGTGAAGGACTGAAATCCTGCAGCGCCCGCAAGGTCCCCCTGCTCAAGAAAGCACATATACAGGCCCGTCTGAAGTTTGCCAATGAACATCTGAATGATTCAGAGGAGAACTGGGTGAAAGTGTTGTGGTCAGATAAGACCAAAATCGAGCTCTTTGGCATCAACTCAACTCGCCGTGTTTGGAGGAGGGGGGAATGCTGCCTATGACCCCAAGAACACCATCCCCACGTCAAACATGGAGGTGGAAACATTATGCTTTGGGGGTGTTTTTCTGCTAAAGGGACAGGACAACTTCATCGAATCAAAGGGACGATGGACGGGGCCATGTACCGTCAAATCTTGGGTGAGAACCTCCTTCCCTCAGCCAGGGCATTGAAAATGGGTTGTGGATGGGTATTCCAGCATGACAATGACCCAAAACACACGGCCAAGGCAACAAAGGAGTGGCTCAAGAAGAAGCACATTAAGGTCCTGGAGTGGCCTAGCCAGTCTCCAGACCTTAATCCCATAGAAAATCTGTGGAGGGAGCTGAAGGTTCGAGTTGCCAAACGTCAGCCTCGAAACCTTAATGACTTGGAGAAGATCTGCAAAGAGGAGTGGGACAAAATCCCTCCTGAGATGCGTGCAAACCTGGTGGCCAACTACAAGAAACGTCTGACCTCTGTGATTGCCAACAAGGGTTTTGCCTCCAAGTACTAAGTCATGTTTTGCAGAGGGGTCAAATAATTTTTTCCCTTATTAAAATGCAAATCAATTTATAACATTTTTTACATGCTTTTTTCTTGATTTTTTTTGTTGTTATTCTGTCTCTCGCTGTTCAAATAAACCTACCATTAAAATTATAGACTGATAATTTATTTGTCAGTGGGCAAACGTACAAAATCAGCAGGGGATCAAATACTTTTTTCCCTAACTGTACAATATGTGTGAACAGCCCAGTGGGTAACCATGCAGACCCCTAGGTGAAGCCCTACGCCTTTAGTAGATTCAGTTTCTGTGACAAACGGACAGCATTGTTCAACTATAGACCAAGAGACATCGGCTGTTTCTTAAAATGCATACCCCTGCGCGTCACACTCTCATGCTCCAAGTGCATTCTCCGAGGATGTTCTCTTGAGTACGTTCTTGTGAGGACAAGAGTGTGGAGAACGCATAAACCATTATATTTGAAAAGCACTCACACTCCCCCTACTGTATTACCTTACGCTGCTTCCATTCACTGAACCTTCTTCCAGCCAGGACAAAGCCAACAATAGAGATGAAACAAGATATACACAAAGAAAACGTTTTACTTCATAACTATCAGCTTGCTATATGTGAATCGTAATAACGTAGCTAAGCAGATAGTTTAACAGGCAAAACTGACATAAAACTAATCTACGCACACTACAGTGTGTCTTGTAGGCAGGTAAACATAACAAAAAAGGAATGGGTTAGGGGAAAATATATAAGAAATATACAGTACCAGTCAAAAGTTTGGACACACCTATTCATTCAAGGGTTTTTCTTTATTTTTTACTATTTTCTACATTGTAGAATAATAGTGAAGACATCAAAGCTATGAAATAACACATATGGAATCATGTGGTAACCAATAAAGTGTTAAACAAATCCAAATATATTTTATATTTGAGAATCTTCAAAGTAGCCACCCTTTGCCTTGATGACAGCTTTGCACACTCTTGGCATGCTCTCAACCAGCTTCATGAGGTAGTCACCTGGAATGCATTTCAATTAACAGATGTGCCTTGTTAAAAGTTAATTTGAAGAGTTTCTTTCCTTCTTAATGCGTTTGAGCCAATCAGTTGTGTTGTGACAAGGTAGGGTTGGTATACAGAAGATAGCCCTATTTGGTAAAATACCAAGTCCATATTATGGCAAGAATAGCTCAAATAAGCAAAGAGAAAAAACAGTCCATCATTACTTTAAGACATGATGTCAGTCAATTTCAAGAACTTTGAAAGTTTCTTCAAGTGCAGTTGTAAAAACCATCAAGCGCTATGATGAAACTGGCTCTCATGAGGACCGCCACAGGAAGGTAAGACCCAGAGTTAACTATCATATGTTTTTCAACAGGACAATGACCCAACACACCTCCAGGCTGTGTAAGGGCTATTTGACCAAGAAGGAGAGTGATGGAGTGCTGCATCAGATGACCTGGCCTCCACAATCCCCCGACCTTAACCCAATTGAGATGGTTTGGGATGAGTTGGACCGCAGAGTGAAGGAAAAGCAGCCAACAAGTGCTCAGCATATGTGGGAACTCCTTCAAGACTGTTGCTGGTTGAGAGAATGCCAAGAGTGTGCAAAGCTGTCATCAAGGCAAAGGGTGGCTGCTTTGAAGAATCTCAAATATAAAATATATTTGGATTTGTTTAACACTTTTTTGGTTACTACATGATTCCATATGTGTTATTTCATAGCTTTGATGTTTTCACTATTATTATACAATGTTGAAAATAGTTAAAATAAAGAAAAACCCTTGAATGAGTAGGTGTGTCCAAACTTTTGACTGGCACTGTATATATATATTTTGTGGACATTTCCCTGCAAAGTTAATCAATGACCTATAGTACAAGCAAGGCTAGCTCTAAATCAACCCAAGATTGAGTGCTGAATTTACAGACTAACATCAAAGGGTCGATTTCCCTCGCACATTTCATCTGATCTATGGGTACTAATACTGGAAGGGAATTATACAACAGGTAGATACACAGGCACTGTCTGACGTCACTCTGAGTGTCTGATAACATGTGAATAATAGTGTTAATAACTTTTTTTTTATGATCTATCACTTGTGATACTGTGGAGGCAGTAAGTCACACCACAGAAAATCAACCATGCTACAGCTGCACTAAGTATTTAATTATATCCATTATTCACCTGTCTAACTATATCAAACAAAAACAAACAAGTACATAAACGGCCTACAAGGCTCTTTCCATCTTATTCAAACTGAGAACATTAAAGCCTCTCAGGTCATTCATTTCCCCTGTAAGCTGACAGTGCAATTCCATTTTTCCAGATAGCAGCGTTCGTTCACTGCATCAATGCGTCAATGCATATTCTGTTCGTCTCCGTTTCCTAAAGGGGAAGCGCTCAGACTTTTCCACGTGTGTTCTTTTGCATCACTTTATTACTGCTAGAGGAAGCATCTCTTTGCAACGACCAGCAACGGTGTCAGGCTTTGAACACAACTCTGCGGGTGCCTCATGTAGTAGCCAAATTCTTCCACCTTCTCTCTCTCAGCACTTCACATGCTGCTGAGAGAAGGTACGGTACAGAGAAACCTCAAAAGGGATGTTGGGGCTGTATTTCAAATCGGATCTACCAGCTGAGAGACAGAGTCGTCTCCTGTATTTCAAGATTGTCGAGCAGGCCTACAGCTTTCGAGCTATGCAACAGTATAAAGCAGCGGCATATTCTTTTTGAAGCTATATTCAAAAGTTTCTCTTTTCACCCCAAGTAAGTAAAAAAAAAAAAAAACCCAGCAATAGAGATCTGTCTGTGGCTTTTTAGAGTCTTGTACAGGAAATAGGCACTGACTGACTACTGTGAGAAATATGAGATGCAACCACCTCTTCACAGTTTGGATGGGCTAAAGATGACACTGACAGCTTACTACAGCCACACACACACACCACTCTACCATCTGTAGAATATCTCTTAGGGTCACTGAACATGAACAAAAGTAGCATAGCATGGGGAGGGGCATTAACCCTAATAGATGTCTTATGTTGCCTCATCCCCATAACTCCCATACATGTGTGGCTGGCAGAGCCCATTGTTGGAGGAAAAATGGGATATGAAAAAAACCCACTGAGATGAGAGGATGTGAAATAAATGATTTATGACTCCCCAGTTTTGGAGTGTGTGTGTATGTGTGTGGGTCAGATGTGTTGTGAGACTTAAGAGCTGTAATTAATAACTCAAACACATCCAGTGATGATTCTAATCTCTTGGGCTGTTCACGTGATGGATGTTGGGTATGTTATCTGCACACACATTGGCATTCTACAAAGAGATTTGTACAAATCTCCTCATATCCAATTAAATGAAAACAAATAAGATGCCACTTTAAAAAGGACCTGCAACATGTCTGTATGCATGCATGTTAAAAAGTCTACAATTACTTTAAATGCTAGTGTTATGTTTTGTGCCTGCCTCTGCCTATTTGTAAGCAAAATGCACAGTCAGTGCTTGGATTTCAGCTCTGTTTTCATCTATCTGAAATGTTTGTTCTTTGATCTAAGAATAGTACAGTAATTGTTAGGCACAGCCATGTCTCTCATCAGAGAGGGCAGACAGAACATTTAGTGCAGGAAACTATTACTTCAGCTGATGGCAGTTTCACTAGTTTTGTCGCAAGGGCTGTGGAACATTTTAATTATCCCTCAGAATGATCACCAATATAAAAAGTGCAAAACCGCTCTTGAGGACAAAAATCTAATCGAGGTAGAAAGCTACATGATCATACATTTTATAATTCAACAGAGATGAAGAGGGCTGCAACACGGCCACTCAAGAGCCTCTATTTAGATTCTCATTCTATACCTTATACTCAATACATGTTGTATCAGTAGCCCCAAAATGGCTTCCATAGTCCTCACCTTTGTCAGCTATAGACAGTGTGCTACTGAAGTATTGCTCTTCCAGTGTCCATGACATGTCGTTCATTTTGTTGGAGACCCCACATGATCCCAGGCAGTTCACCTTAATGGCTGGAATGGAAAGAAAGAAAAGAGTCAATCAACCGTATACAGTTTACTAACTTAGTCTATCGTCCATATTTCTCTAAAATGGTAGTTTCCACTATGAGTTTTTTTTATCTAAGTAATGAGCTGGTATAAAAAACAGAGCCCATATACTGTATGGATGTTACAAACACTGAACACCAGAGTTTTCAATGACTGGTGTCTATAAATATGTTTTGCTGTTGACTAGAAGCCCCATGTTCAACATTAGACCCTTCAGAGAGAATACCCTTGGTCCTGGTGTGTTCACTGTGTTTTATAAAAATAGCAGCACTCAACATTCAATAGTGATGGGTTTGTAGAGTTATCTGAATCACAGACTGGATTAGCCTCACCGCTCACCTGTTTGATGGGGCTATCGATTATGTTACTGAGACGCTAATGCAAATCAAATCCAATAGCTAGCCTTTATGGGGCGAGCCAGCCAGCCTTGCCCCATTGGGACAGGCAGACTCTACATCTACATCAAACTTCAGATGAACCAGAAGTTTTCTGGGTAATATTATCATTATATAAGTAAAGGTCAACCTAGATGTGTACCAGGGGATTTCATCATGTTTCATGATGTAGCATACATGTGGCCACTACTAATCTGATGTCCTGTGATAAGCTCCTATCTCCTTCACTGAGAATTAACCAGAGGGTTAGTGTGATCAGAATGCACACAGCAGTCACAACACATATGACGTCCCACTGGGCACACACTGGTTGAATCAACGTTGCTTCCACGTAATTTCAATGAAATTACATAGAACCAATGTGGAATAGACGTTGAATTGACATCTGTGCCTAGTGGGGTGATGTATGGAGAGGCTCTGTGTGGTTTAAGGGCCTTTGTGTTGAGTTGCATACCGTTGGAGAGAAAAACACAGTGAATGCCGCAGACTTATTAGCATCATAATGACCTTACCCGAGGCACACCACAGACCCTCACAAAGCATGATGCCTTACTTTGATCATTATCGGCGGCTGCTGCTGCTGGGCAAAGGGGCTCAATTCTCTCTTGGTCGTAAATAATCATACAAAACAGACACTTGATTGTGTTGTGTAGATATCAACAGATGGAGAAGGTGGAGGAAACAGAGGAGAAACAGTATCAGTGTTCGCCAATATTGTTGTGAAACCACTGTCGAATGGCGACCATTGTGTCCAATGATGGTTAGAAAAAAACATCCTGGAAAACAAAATGTACTGTTTAACTACTGTTAAACCCATCATCAGCCTGCTGTGTTCAGCCATGTTTGAGTGTTGAGATGATTATGTAACAAGTTGGGTAAGCCTGGGAGATTTTCTAAAGCCCAATTCACCAAACACAACTACAGCACATGCTATCTCTCTCTCTCTCTCCTCCCCCTTCGTCCCTCCCCCTCTCTCTTTCTAAGGAGGAACTGAAACCTTTTGATAATGTGCAGTGGAACACGATGTTCACACAAGGTCATAATCCTCCTCTCTTATAGAAACCTGCATTCCCATAGCATCATGTTCCCTCATGGCCTCATAATGTTAGAAATGGCGGGAGGGAGAGAGAGGTCAGATATAGAGAAGAGCGATCTATGCAGGGGACGGAAATGGTGCCATATGACACTGTGCAGTTATGGACTGTGTGACCGAGCGACCACAGGCTCACAACCATGCAGAAGCCAGCTTTGGCACCAGAGACACACACAAGTAGCAGATGGCTCCCCTCCACTGGCAGAGCCTGTTTGTTCTGGTTTGGGAGAACAACAGCAAAATTCACAGTACACAGAAAAGACCAGTGCCCTTTAAACTAACGGCCCATCATGTGGGCATTAAATAAACCATGCAATCTGTTTCTCAAGCCATCTGCCCCATTCAGCATAATGGGTTTACACACTTCCCTCTACACCCCCACCCCCGGTTTGATATCAACACATTTGTGACTCGTTTCAGGAAACTAGACGTTTGTCGCACGCCACTACTTCACAGGAAAGGTATTTGAACGTAAACATACATTTTTATAAAAATGCATTTTTTGGCAGAAATGCTTTCTGGAACATGTGAACTTTAATGTGCCTTAATAACAAACTTGTATGCCATCTATAAATACGAATAAAAAATTGAAATTACGCGCCTAGTTGGTTTAGCCACGGAAAAAGACAGGAACCTTCCCGCTAGCCATGATTGGCTGAGATAATGGATGGGCTGCACATGCCGAGAGATGAGTTCAGATTGGTCTGCCATGTAGCATGCTTCTGTCTATAACATGAGCTGCTCAGTATGTGCAGGTAATCCTTTCTACTGTGTCTTTCTTTAACGATGTCATGAAGAACTGCAAAAGTGTTGCTACAGCTCTCCAACTTCTGGAGGACGATCGTGCCATGCTGACTCTCTCTGACTCTGAAAATGAATCAGACGATGAGGAAATCCCTGATTTATGTCAAAACATTTTCATTGAACCAGACATTGACATTGTACATTGTAGAGTTTTCTGAAACGGCGATCAACAGTGTTGTTGTCACAGAAGAAGTTGACTGAATTTTGAAATCACTGGAATGCCCGGTGGAAGCAGAGTATGATAGCTAAGTAGATGGAGAAATTTCTGCCGTTTGATTGCAAATATGCAGAGGGAGTCGAAAAGAGAACACACAGAAGGCTGTTGTATAAAACACCTGTCTCCGGATTACATCTTCAAACTAAGGGTAACCATGGCATCCGTGCCAGAGAGGGAGAAGCGTTCATCCATGTATACGGGTAAGAGAGTCTAGCTAGCTACATTTTCAGATAATATATGTTTCTAATTTTGTCATAAAGTCGTTTTCATTGCAAGTTAAAGCGTACTATGAGCTAGCTAGCTAAAGTTAGCTGGCTGGCTCGCTAGCTAACTTACGTGTATGATCTGTGTAGCAATATTATTTTTATCTCAGAAATACATTTGCATTGCTAATTATAGCCTAATGTTAGCTAGCTTGCTAACATTGAACCTAGTTGGTTAGCTTTAGCTGCCTGCAGATTCATGCATGGTGGCTAGCTATGACAATCAGTTTGTATTGCTAGTAGTATGGGTTGGGATTATTGCCGAATTCAAAACAACTGGGAACTCGGAACATGTAACTCAGAAATCTCAGACCTCAGACTTCAGTGCGTTCAAGACAACTGGGAACCTGGAAAAAAATTTGCTCCGACAGGGAAAAATCATTTTGAACAGTCATCCAACTCGGAATTCCAACTTGGGAACTCAGGCCTCTTTCTAGAGCCCCGACTTTCCGACCTGAATATCACTGACGTCATGATTTGACCTCGTATTTTTCCAAGTTATCAGTTGTCTTGAAAGCACCATTAGGTTCATTGTTTAGCTAGCTAGCTAGCAAGCTACATGTCTAAACAAAAGACTGCACCTCACCAGATGATTACATGACCCATCAAGTTAGCCAGGTGTGTCTGGGGGTGATTACGGTCATCCATTGTATTTCATGAACTTGTGTACGTCTAGACAATAGTGACCCATCCACTTTGCTAGATGTGGCTGGGGGGCGGTTATAGCATTTCTTTTACATGAACCATCAATTTAGACAAGTGTGTCTGGGTAAGAATCAAATATGCAAGTAACCATTTCACTGTACAGTTTACACCTTCTGTATCCTGTGCATGTGACAAATAAACATATATTTTAATTGATATAGTGTGTGTTTACCGGTAATGCGAAGAACAACATGACCTGCACCAAAGTCAGATTAGGGTATAGGCCAAGGACTAGATAAAGTGTATTTTCACCACTTTTAGTCTTGAAATCTTTGGTTGTTTTCTACACTACCTTACTCTGTTTAGCACATGGCCTCACATGTGAATCTTTAAAGAGATGGGTGGTAAAAGGGGGATACCTAGTCAGTTGTACAACTGAATGCATTCAACTGAAATGTGTCTTCCGCATTTAACCCAACCCCTCTGAATCAGAGAGGTGCGGGGAGCTGCCTTAATCGACATCCACGGCGCCCAGGGAACAGTGCCTTGCTCAGGGGCAGAAATACAGATTTATACCTTGTCAGCTCGGGGATTCGATCCAGCAACCTTTTGGTTACTGGCCCAACACTCCTACCCGCCAGGCTTAAGAGGATGTGAACAATGCGGAATGGGTGTAGACAAAGAAGAGCTCTCCAGTAGGTGTACCAAAACATTCAAGAGCCATTTTCTCAAAAGTGGGGTTCCCAGTTTATCAACATTCAAAGCAGAATTAATTTTCCATTGTTCCTCAACTGCAGTGTATGATACCATTTTCTAGCTCTGAATCGCTACTTTTATCCAATGTAAAAAACACAATTTCAAATTTTGCTGCATATGACCGAATCGAGCCGGTCGGTGTCACATTTGTGAAGGGGAGGGGCATGAAATATGTGTACACTGTACACAAACATAACTAGCAGCAGCAACTGGCCAGTATTTACAAACCCTTGTAGAGACATATATAGTAAATGGCAGTAAAAGGTTGGGTAATCGCTCGACAGTAGAGTTAGCTAGTTAGCTTTCTCTAATGTGCTAACCCCACAACCACAGCAGACAGACTGGCAGGCAGCAGTTAGGTTGAATAGTGAATAGCTCTGTGGTAAGAGAAGCGGCAGGTTGGCAGAGAAGCTGGATGGCTGCAGCTGGATAATGGATCGGTCTCTCCAGTGCCACTCTGAACCAGATGGAGCTGTTGTGTGAGTCTGTCTGATGGCATCATGACACAGGAGAACAAGGCACTGAGGCAGAGACCACAATGTGTGTCAATATGTAGCGGATGTCGGACGCCTAGATTCACATCAGGCAGTGTTGAAGCCTTCCTAAGACTTGAAGCACTATTCCAACACCAAGCCAAGGGGACCTAAGACAGATCCAAGCTCCTAAAAAACAGGGTTTGATTTCCTTCTGGATCTTTCAAGAGTAATAAAGCTTCCAACTCCCCCCTCTCTGTTCATCTTCATCTTCAATACAAACTACAAAATCCAGCTACTGTATTCGGAACTACACTAGGGCTGGGAATTGCCAGGGACCTCACGATAGATACGATGTTATCATGATTCTATATGTATTGCTATTCGATACTGTAATTTCTATTGTGATTCCATGTTACAAACATATTACTCACCATATGTCTGCTGCAGAGGGACAAGAGAGAGCCATAGAGAAAAAAAGTTTTAATCAGTCATGGAAATAAAAGTACTGAAAACAAATGGGCTCCCTATTTAAAAAGAAGATGGAGAACAAGCTATGAAGGGAAAATACTTGGTGCAGGTACAGCCAACTACCGCAAAAATAATACTGTGATATTGTCAAAACGATATGATATATTGTAAAAAAATGATATCCCGATATGTAACTGTATACATTTTCCCCCCATCACTAACCTACACTGTAAAAACATTGTGATGTTTTTACGGTAACTTACTGGAAGCCTGTTACCTGTAAATTACTGTACAAAAGGTACAATATGTTACTGTAAATCCCAAAGAAACTTTGGTTTAACAGTACATTACTGTTACAGTAAAGTGCTGTTAAACCAAAGTTTCTTTGGAATTTACAGTAACATACAGTACCTTATTTTACAGTAACTGGTTGCCAGTAAGTTACTGTAAAAACAACAAGATATTTGTTTTACAGTGTAGCATTTCAAGCATTTAAGCAATTCAAGCCTTTGCCCTCAGAGGTTTGCAATGCCAGGAAGTTACACGTGTCTAATGAACAGGCTATGTGGCATACTAGGCATCACATTACAGTGAGTGACAGCATGTACACTGTCCACAGAACTATATGCCTTCACACACCTACAAGCAGTGCCCACAGGGATCACTCACACATAGTAATGTGAACAGGAGTTTAGCAGCTTTAAGTCATCTCTCACCAGACTACCCATGAAGTATTACAAGCTCTGCGTGTCAAACAAGCACGAATAATGATCATTGAATGCATTCCTGGGTGGGAGCGACGAGACTAGAACAAGCTCTGA